CTCGACGGTTTTACGCGCGCATAGTTGCAATTCCTGTGCCACGACCTCCACGGTGACTTCAAAAACGCCTCCGTTGTGCCTTTGTATTCGATGACTCCCTAAGGCAGTGGACTCTTTGAATGCTTCATACCATCTATGTGCTCCTTAACCCTCACGTGGAGTGGTCTTGTCGTTTCTCCAATATACTCATCTCCACAATCACGGCAAGTAATTTTGTAGACTACCCCAGACATGTTACAATCACCTTCCCTTCCAGCTGTACAACCTCAAACCACACAGTTTGAGGTTGTACATAGGCGACCGTACAGCCTGTTCCGAACCAGGCGCTTATTTAGACTGAAGGGTTTTACGTTAACAATAGCAACCGCATTTTCTAAGCCCGATTTCTTTAGACACTACCTAATAGTGGCACTGACCTCATCAGAGATAAATGGTAGTACAGAAAGAATCTTCCCATCGATCGAAGTACTACCATGTCTGAGGATCACGCCACCAGAAGATGCTCCTCTTGTAGTTGGAAAATTGCGGTAGCTATTCATCTCAGCAATATCGCATGCCATGTTAATCAACTCTTTTCGCTCATCCTCCCTAGTGCAAACCTTCTTAGCGGTGCGGAACATATTCCTAACAGCCGCTCGCTTTATATAAAGAGGATGAGCTGAGTGATAATGGACAATGATATTCTTATTGCTGGGCTTTCTGCACCACATCGTAATAATCATGTCGCCCTGTTACCTCACTTGAACATTTAAGAGTTAACTTAATGTATAGAGATAGAGATAGAGGGGATATAGAAATAGAGATATATAGGGATATAAATATGCGAGGGCTCTCTATATCCCAAGTGATGGCACTTGTAAATGAGTGCCTCAGTTGCAACATTTTAAAGCGGTCGGGGAGATATTTCGCTCAGACTAGAGGCTTAGCTATGGGACAACGATTGGCGCCTGTCTTGGCTATAGCATTTATGGCCAAGATTGAAGCGCCTGTACTTGAATACCTGCCCTTACTTTACTGCAGGTATATAGACGACTGCTTCATAGTTTGTGTGACACGAAAAGAAATAGATGTGTGTTTTGATCTGCTGAACTCACAATCGGAGCATATTAAGTTAACTCTTAAATGTTCAAGTGAGGTTACAGGGCTATATGATTATTACGAAGTGGTACAGAAAGCCCAGCAAGAAAAATATCATTGCCCATTATCACTCAGCTCATCCTTTTTACACAAAGCGAGCGGTTGTTAGGAATATGTTCCGCACCGCTAAGAAAGTTTGCACTGGGGAGGATGAGCGAAAAGAGTTGATTAACATGGCATGCGATATTGCTGAGATGAATAGCTACCGCAACTTTCCAACTACAAGAGGAGCATCTTCTGGTGGCGTGATCCTCGTACATGGTAGTACTTCGATCGATGGGAAGATCCTTTCTGTACTACCATTTATCTCTGATGAGGTCAGTGCCACTTTTAGGAAGTGTCTAAAGAGATTGGGCTTGGAAAATGCGGTTGCTATTGTTAACGTAAAACCCTTCAGCCTAAAGAAGCGCCTGGTTCGGAACAGGCCGTACGATCGCCTATGTACAACCTCAAACTGTGTGGTTTGAGGTTGTACAGCTGGAAGGGAAGGTGATTGTAACATGTCTGGGATAGTCTACAAAATTACTTGCAGTGATTGTGGAGATGAGTATATTGGAGAAACGACAAGACCACCAATCACAATTATGCGCGCGTAAAACCGTCGAGGCATTTTGGATACAAGTCACCGATCCAAAAATGAATCGTAGGGAAGAATGCCTCGCAATCATGCGGTAGCTGCGGCCTTATATAAAGTTGGCCTTCCCATAGGGACTCTGAATGAAGACCTACCCCAGCTGACACTAGTCGATTATTATCACCGATTGCTGGTTGGTTTCGAAGAATCCACGAAGCTACGGTGAGTGGTTCTCCTTTAGTCACCTGCGTGCCCTGGGAGTATCGAAGTTCAGTGTGGCAGTGGAGACGTTTGGTCGGGTAGCCATGAATTGTTATGGTCTTTCTAGGCTCTGAAGAAGGCGACTCCGCCGAAACGTCAGCGTAATAAAGAACCTCGAGAAGAGTTAAAGAAAACAACTCAGTGACAGAACAAAATGTGCGTAACGTTGCCACAGACGCAATGCCACATCTCATGCCATAGCTCATGCTTATTTCCTACAGCTTGACGGGCCTGTAGTGGTGCTTACAGACGTTTCTTAACCAGGGGGTGTAGCTTTGCTAAGCCTCAAAAGAATAGGAACACAGAGTGGATAAGATGTTACTTCATACAAAAATTAGGGTTGGAAGTGAGTTGAACATTCGATTGACCGTAAATAAAGTTCCGTTCTGACAATGAGCTGACGGGTAGCGTGATAGGGTGTTTTCAAACTCGACCGACGTGCCTTGTTTTCACCGATCGACCGACGACGTTGCTGGCCACGTGTTGACAAAGCAGGAAGGATAACGTTCAGAGCCGCGTGATTCGTAAAGGCGCGTGATCCATCGGCGTCAGTTACGAGTGGGTGCTATCTATTAGGTTGTTCGGAAGGGAATGCGCGTTGAATTGGTCCATTTATTTCTCTCCTACTATACATGATACGTGAGAAAAAGTTTAGGAAATGCTTGACCACAAAATTCCTTTTGCGAGCTCGCATGTGGTACGACTTCAAGCAAGGCAAAACGACTGCAGAAACTCATCATCTGAGGTATTTGGCGAAGAAGTCTTGTCAGAAAGCCAGTGTCGACGATGGATCCAGCGTTTCAAAAACGGTAATGAAAGGATAGAGGACGAAGAACATGGAAGTAGGCCTCAAGTAGTCGATAACCAAGTGTTAAAGTCCGTCACTGAATTGGATCTACTCAAACTACCATCCGTTAACCCGTGCTGGGAATTTGCAAGACGAACAGGTGCGGAAAATGGGTATCGCACCGTCGCGTGGCGGGTCGGGTCGCGGGTATGAATCGCGAAAATCATTTTGGAAAAAGTTGAGGAATAGGGGCTGGGAAGTCCCACCTCATCCGCCATACGGCCCAGATCTGGTACCATCCAATTACCGTCTGTTCCGGTCGATGCAGCACACCCTGACCAAGAAAAGTTCAAAAACAGCGAAGAAGTCCAACTCTGGGTGTTCAACCTCTTTAAGCCGCAGCCGGTCGATTTCTTAAGAACAGAAAACCATTCGTTGCTTAAATCTTGGTAACAGATCATTGATAGTAATGGAGATTACCTTTTGAATTGATCTTGTTTTGTTTCTTTTTTATAATAAAAAATTTTAAGCTCAAACGCGCATTCCTTTCCGAACAACCTAATATTTCCTCGCCCCTCGCGGTCTGCAATTACGTGCTAATTGTAACTACAGTAACACTACGCTTACTTTTATCCAGTTTCATAGACTAACCAAGGTGATTCGCATGCGGTTTAAATCAATAGATTCGCTCCTTTCTCTGCTTCCGCCTTTTCACTAATTTTTTGATATCGGTTGTCTAGTTCGTTTCTCATGTTAGGCTTTTCTTCTTCCAATTTACACTTTAATCACTTCTCAAGTGCACGTCCACAAAAAGAGGGTGTGCACATTTAGTTTCAATTTAAACCGCTTCCACCCCAGCCAATCAACGAATCGAAGAAATTTTTTACAATATGATAAACGCTCACTTTCCTGCAAACTTCTTCAACTTCAAAACTACCCGTCTGCAAGCAAACTAGTCAAAAGGGGATGTCTTTCTTGTATTTTTCCAAGTATTGCAAATGTTGAGAGGCTGCATAGCTTTAGAAACATACGTTATGATAACATGCTTCTTGGGATCGATATCTTATTAGGTCTAGAAAGCGCTAATCATGCCTTCCATCCGGTCATGGCTAATCAGTAGAATACTGGCAGCCTCGTCAGAGAAAGCAAAAGCTTTGACTGCAACAACGAATGCCCTCAAGATGTTTTTCCTTGTTCCTTCTCAAACTACAGAATGCAAAGAAATTCAAATTTCTAATTAACAGGGTCGATTACAGTTTAACTAGGAAGGTAATTGATGGAGTGCGGAGTGATCCAAATTGGAACTAAACGTGCATTGGATCACTTTATAGATGCACCGTTGAAAAATGATCAAAAAGAATAATTAAAAGAAGAAATGAAAAAGAAAAAAAATATGAAACAGACAATCAATATCAAAAAAAGTAGTGAAAAACTGTAAGCTGAAAAAGGAGCGAATCTGCTCTTATAAACCGCATGTGAATCACCCTTGCCAGTCTATGAAACTGGATAAAAGGGGTATGGGTACTTACGTGCGTCCGAGAATGCGCGCGGCAAATTGCGCGGCGAAGTGCGTGGTGATACGAACGACTCTGGCGCCTGCCACTGGGGTCCAAACTCGAAGTAGAGTAGTTTAGTAGGGTCAGCTGAAACTATTAATCTACTCTACTTCAAATTGGGGCCCCAATGATAGGCACCAAAGTCGTTCGAATCCCCTCGCACTTCGCCGCGCGCATCCTCGGACGCACGTAAGTTCCGTCCCCCGGATAAAAGTAAGTGTAGTGTTACGGTAGTTGCAATTAGTACGTAATTGCAGACCGCGAGGGGTGTGGAAATAGATAGCACCGTTATGAGTGCACTGGTGCGTCCAGGGATACACGTGGCAAACTGCGCGGTGAAATCCGAGGGGATTTGCGCGACTCTGTTGTTTGTCATCAATATATAAAGCATGTGCCCAAAACAACGCTGGACAAAGAGGTGAAGTTCCACATAAGCTCACCGATTTCACAAAAATAAGGAAAATATTAACACTTTGGAGCCCGCGCAGGTTTCGGCAACTGAAGCCGCGAGGGACCGCGGCTCGTTTGAACGCAGCAACTGCAGCCTATATGTGGGCTGCACGGGCTCTCGTGGCATGCTTTTCGAAAAGCGGCTATTTTGGCGGGTTTTTCGGAAATATTCTTTCCTGCTGTGGCGACTACGTCAGGAGATTGAACAGTCAGGCTACACATGTCCCTAACGATCATGAGTACGTCACAAGAACGGTTTGAAGAACAGTTTCATCAACTGCTGATCGAGTCTGACGAAGAAAGCGAACGTCATCAGGATGAGACCGCAGACGAATTGCATCTACAAGACGAGGATCCTGACTTTGAAAGTGAATTAGAATCTGGTGATGAACCTGAAATGTCCTGGTCAACAACTACATCAGCTCAAGACCGACGGATTTAAGCAGGAGAATGTGGAGCAGCCGCTCACGCCTTGAGTTGCAGCCATCCTGCCGACTTCTACAATTCCTTTCCTGATGCTGAAATGATGGAGCTCATTGTTACCGAAACGAACAGATATGGCCAGCGATGAGCGTAGGAATTTGGATCGGACTTCCAAGATACGACGGAGGACGAAATGCGGAGATTCTTCGGTACATGCCTTCAAATGGGAATCGTCAGACTACCACGACTGCATGGTTACTGGAGCCAGCCACCAGCTCTAGGTGGTCATTCTCGTGCTGGTCATGTTATGGTTAGGAGAAGGTTCGAAGAGCATCTTAGGAGAAGGTTCGAAGAGATGAGAGAAGAAGCTCTACAATGTTGTCGTCAAAAAGGTAAAACTGAACGACATCAAAATGGAATTAGTAGAAGTCCTCCTCTCAACGGACCTGAACCTCACACCTTCTACAGAACACCACTTGGAGGAAGTGCCTGGACCAAAAGCCATCACAAGAGGGGGATACACACTGTTATGCACTCAGGTCTTCAGAAGAGGGGCGAGCTGGTGCACTACGTCATACGAGAAGGGTAAATACGCGGTGCTGCAAGTGCAAATTATTTTTCTGTGTAAAGTGCTTCAATAGGTTTCATTGGCTCTGTAATTGATAGGAGTTATACGAGTTTCAAAATGTGCCAGCATTTAAAAACAATTCGTTCGAAGAAGAACCAATATATAATCACTACTTTTCTTATAAATTTGTTGGTGGAGGTTTTATTTCAAAACCACTCCATTTGCAAATTCATCAAGTTTGTGTCTATCACTTACTTTTTGAGAAGGAATCATATAAACAAAAAACCAAACAAAAAATTGAATTACATGGTGTAGCCCATATGTGGGCTGCAAGGTCCCTCGTGGCCGACAAGGTGCTGCCCACATATGGGCTGCACGGTTGTCAAAGTGTTAAATAAGGAAAGTATGTAATCGCCACGCGATTTGCCCGCGTGCATTTCAGGACGCCGCAATGTTTCCAAGCCCATAGGGCGTCCAATGTTGTCAACACGTGGACAGGAACGTCGTTCGGTCGATCGGTGGACACATCGTTCGGTCGATCGGTGGAAATAATGCACGTCGGAAAAGAATTTAAAGAACAAAATCGGACAAGCATTACGCGTGGGCGGTCGCGTCGACATTACTAACCTTGTCCGCTCAGGCTTGGACATTGCTCACGAATTGGCCATTGCGTAGGGCGTTAGAGCTTGCTATTCCAAGGTGACTACTATGAAGAACGTCCCACACCTAAAGGCTCTCAAACTGTAGTGTGGTAATATCTGTGTATTTCTTCCAAGAACGCGGCTGAGTAGATACTTTCCCCTAGGGGATGAGTGCTGGCCTATTTTGGTTGTGTTTCTATTCTGTTGCATGTTCTTTTTCGTTTGTGTTTCCTCTAGGACAACTGCTGAGTGGTTGCCTTCACTAATAGTGTTGAACCATGGTTTAGGAGTATGCCAGCTTCTGCGCGATCAAGGATACTTCGGTGCGACGCGATCTTAATCAGGCGTGAAAAATTCATGATCGTTACGTTGACCGCATATCGATATGCAGCAAGTTAAAAGTTAAATTGGGGATAATAACAACAGTAAAAACCAAAGCTTCTACGAAAAATAGGTTTCCAACGGAAAACTTCCAAATATAACCAGCTATGAGTTTTTACTTTGTGGAAAGTAAAAAACGAGTAAAATCGCACTTCTCAGTTCCCGGAAACTATTCCGCTTCGCTTCACATTTCACACTCCACCTGCCATAAACAGCAAATCCCTACCCAGCATTATTAAAACCTCCCTAGTTCGAATCAAAAATTTTTAAAGGTGCTCTTTCCCATACTTCTCAACCTTTTATCTTTGACTCGCTTGATAAGGATATGACAACATAATGAAAACGTATGTTCCACAACTAATTAAGATCGCCTCCCATGGAAATGCACTCGCAGCTAAACCTACCCGCGAAAAATGGCGGGGAGTTGTGCGCGACATCTGTTGATCAATTTCGGCAACTATTTATATTTCGAATCCCGAATTCTTTGCTGTATCAAGAGCAGCTACTGTTCAGCTCGATTCATGCTACCTTTCCTTGACACTTTTCATTTCCGCTGATGATAACAGTCTACCACTGTGAACAAATAGCAGATGCCGTAAAACCACTTTAACTTGTATTCGATTTCGATGTGTCGTATTGTCGTATGCATTCCTTGGGATTATTCATTAGAGGAATTTTAACGTCCCGTGAACGTTTGGTACAGTAATTCTTGTACGTAGTAAGTTCTTAGTGCTTCACCGCCTAAACCGTGTGGGCAGCGTAACGACCATGGGGTTTCCACAACTGATTGAGATCGTGTCGCACCGAAGCGCGAAGCGTCCTCAATCGCACGGAAGTTGACGTACTCCTGAACCAAGGTTCAACACTCGACCAGTGAAGGTTATTTTCCAACAGTTGCCCTAGAAGAAACACAAACGAAAACACCTGCAAAAGAAATAGGAACCCATAACCAAACTATGCCAGCAGTCATCCACTAGGGAAAGGTAACAACCAAGCAACGTTCTTCGAAGAGACATTAACGAAGAAGCATGCAGCAAAAGTATACATCCATTATCACACTAGTTTAAGAGCCCTTAGATCGTGGAAAGTTCTTATCCCTAGAAAACATTCTCTACGCGCTACGCAACGGCCAATTCGTAAGCAATTTCCAAGCCTCACGGAAAAGGTTAGCAAGGTCCTCGTTGCAGCGAAGCAATTGCTCATGCGTAGTGTTTGCCCGATTTTGTTCTTGAGGTTCTTCTCACGTCGGTGAAGTCTGGAAGCTCCCATAGTATACTACTCCAGCCGTGAGTTCACAGACAAAGGGCGAAAACGCGTGTTAACACCTTTGAGTACAGTGCTCCTACTAATTCTTATGCATTGAATATTAAAGGTCTTCAGATGACCAAACGAGGCCATGCGATGCCCTATTTGTCGACGTTACTCTTTCTACCCAAATCCCTGCGGCTACTGGCAGTGGAATCGCGGTGACTCACGGTTTGTGGTAGGGTACAGCAAGCGCATCACGATGTTCGGGTAGGAGAACTCACACTCATTATAGCGAACATGGAAGTTTCTTTGCGATTTTAAGCGTTATGTAACCGATTAGAAAGTCAGTAAAGTTCAGTCGTTTAGATAATCACTCTGGAAGTCTATTGGAAGAATGCATATCATAAACACTGCATAACACCGTCACCTTTGAACCGCTGACAAAAGTACCTTTCTCTGAGCTGAGCTTCTTTATGCATATTTTCCTACCATGGACCTTCGGAAAGGAAAAGACACATTTCTACAAAACGGCTACTAGTATATACGCTGAAGTGACAAAAGTTAGTTTCAGTGATGAGTTTACATCGACATTCTCAAAAAAGTTGACGGAGAAGAGCAATGGGCCATCATTCCGTTTCTAGGATTGGTCTGTCCCTCATGTATAAAACCGGTAATTCATTCGTAAACATAGCATGGGATGACGGCGTGGGTCCCGCAACGAACTAGATTCAAACAGTGAGCAGCTTGCCAAAAAACTCGTCCTGCATTTTTTGACAATGTAGTTTTGGGCGCCAGACATTAATTATCACCAGCTCAGCTACGCACGCTAACGCGTGCATCACTTGCCTGCAACGGCCTAACTAAGATATTACTTAAGTAGAATTAATGGTAAACAGTAAGCAGATCGTTGACAAAAAGGAGCGAGCTATGCTCCCACTCAATGACGTAAGAAAAAGATTCGTAATTGTTAGGAATCGACGGCATCGACAGACTTCCTATTTCATAGCTGCTTCCTTACCGCACCCACGTGACATTCCACCGTCCTCATCTTGCCTATGTGACTTTTCGCGGACAGACACTTAAACAGACAAACAGAGTTGGCGCTTTACACATTATTTATATTTATCATCCCCCTTAGTTACGTAGGGAAGAAGGACTGCATACAATAACGTCAGCCACACACTCAGGGAATCTAAAATAGCTTTCGTAACGGGAAGTCAGATTTGAACATCCCGCGAACGGGTGATAAAATAACCCCCTCCCTATGCCCGAACACCACCCCGTGGGCTTCAATCAGGGTACCTTTTTGTAGCGTCGTACAGGTGGCGGGTGTTTGGAGGCGCTTGAGTGTGTGTTCGGGATACCGTGAAACATTCACCGGGCTTCGAAAACCGTCTTGTTCATAGCGTGGGCTAACAACACGCAGAGCACAACAGTGTGTCAGTTTTCTGGAGATTAGTTTGTACAATGGAGGTAGTTCCGTATCATCGCATACAATAATTTACATAAACACGTGCTAAGAAACACACATATCTGCGAATAAAACCGAGCACAGCGTACTTCAATCCTATCTCGGTAAATATTGAGAAAAAGTAGAAGAGTCTTGAAACACAGCTAGCAAAGGGCGTTGCGGATGACAAATAACATCAGATGTAGGTGGAAACTCGCCGTTCTGAAAGCAACACAGCTTGTGATGCAGACGACGCATTCTCGCTACAGTATACGATTTGCAGTTCGCATGAGCAAGGATCCTGAAACGGCTTACCTGTCTGTGATGTAGTACAATGAGTCTGTCAGGGTGTGGAGTTCAGTAGCCTGGTCAGTAGCATTCTGATTATTTTTCTAATATGCTGGAGAGACGACGTTCCTCATCTCTGATTGCGTTTTATGGGGCGCTTTCTCTACATAGATGTCCTAGCCTACAATGAAAAAAAGGGCAATGTAAACATTTTTGCGGCGGTTGTCTGATTTATTAGGTTGATGCATAATTATTGCGGATTTTTTTAACAAACATTATTTAACGAACGATAAAAATGCTGAACAAAAACATGCTCAAAAAATTACACCGGAATTCTCCATCATCTACATCAGGTACTGCTTCCCATTGACTAGGTAGTCAGATTCCACCAGCGAAGAAGTTTTGATCCTTGGGGGCGATCCATGCCTTGACATCGGCCATCA